AGAAAAAATAAACACATTATAAGCCATTTAGTTATTTTCAGTATAATGTTCTTATACTCACAAGAAGGTTTTAAGATTGATTCATTTATTTCATTTCATTTGTTATTATTGTTATTTAATTTAATCAGAGAGAGAGACAGACAGAGAAAGAGAGAGAAAGTGAGAAAGCAAGCTGCCAAGTCTGGGACAGGAACTGCAGTCAGCCATAGGGGAGTCCAGTGCCTTAACCACCACATCACCTGCTGGCCCACTCAAAATATTTTTTCATGTGTTTTCAACCATTTGGGAGATAACTGACTACATTTTATTATAACTGAATTTGGTAACATTTTAATTTTAGAAAAAAATACTCATACTGTTAATCTACATATTTGGAACTATTTTATATATACATATCTTGTTTAAATGCATTGATTGACAGAATTTATACTGAAAAGAGACAAATCATCAACTATACAATGTAAAATTGTGCAGAATAATTTCTGCATGATGCATAAATATATAGTTCCTGTAGTCCTAAAAAGAAGACCAGAGTAGTTTTTTGGAGATCTCTCTAACCTCCAAGCCTAGCTGAAGCGAAGAGAAGATGGTTTATGGTAAAAATAAATATGAGAGAGCCAAGAATTTCCACTCATTCTACAATCTTGGATTACTAAATAAATTAGCATCCTTTATTCTTTGGTGGCCAAAAGTGCCATTTTCATTTTACTATGCACATAGTTATCTTTAGTGCCATCATGTAGATGTATATATACATATCTTGTTTAAATGCATTGATTGACAGAATTTATACTGAAAAGAGACAAATCATCAACTATACAATGTAAAATTGTGCAGAATAATTTCTGCATGATGCATAAATATATAGTTCCTGTAGTCCTAAAAAGAAGACCAGAGTAGTTTTTTGGAGATCTCTCTAACCTCCAAGCCTAGCTGAAGCGAAGAGAAGATGGTTTATGGTGAAAATAAATATGAGAGAGCCAAGAATTTCCACTCATTCTACAATCTTGGATTACTAAATAAATTAGCATCCTTTATTCTTTGGTGGCCAAAAGAAGTGCCATTTTCATTTTACTATGCACATAGTTATCTTTAGTACCATCATGTAGATGTATTTGTTAGAGGCTAGAAAATCTCTCCAAAAAAAAAAAAAAGTCAGGTGAATGGCAGGGTATCTTGTTATTATTGCTATTGGGACTCAGAAAGAGGTTTGTGGAACCAGGGATAGTTTTAAATAGTGTTGACAAAGTTTTGAGACTATGTAATCAAGTATTAAAATTTTAGAATTTTTAAAGTTATACGTAATATTGTACAAGCAATGATGAATATAACAATAGACAGAGATGTGTTATATCAAACAATTTCAAAACTTAAATTTACCCTTTTATTGAATGTCTGGTATCTTATCAAAATAAATTTGATCATGAGTTACGTGTTTTTTTTTTTTTAAAAAGCAGAGTTATTACAACTTAAATCATAATATCACAAAAGAATCATAAGCACGCTGTTATGGATTTTCAAAAATTACACAAGGGATAGTTTTGCAACCACTTGTGTTTGATAGCACTCTGGCTTGTTTTTCAACATCTGAAGCTACCAGGAATTACAGAAATTAGAGTAGTCAAATAGATGAAGAGGTATTGATTTTAGTGATATTAAGTTGGTAATAAGTTTGTCCTGCATGGTGAAAAGAAGAGTTCCATATATGTTTCGAACCTGCACCATTTAGGTGCTGAAAAATAATGACAGGTGAGAGGGGAGAGGTGGGAAGGAGAGGCAACAAAGACAGTTTAAAGCCACTGCAATCCTACAATTCCAGGTTACTCGGATGCCCTCACAGGGGGAAAGATCAAGCCACAATTCATTTGCTCTAATATCCTCCTAGGAATTTGAGCACAGAGACACATCTTACTGGCATGATTTTCAAGCTGTCAGGTCCAGGATTCAAACTGTGGATGATCATGTGGGAGTCTAGCTTATCAACTGATGGCACCTGCCTGTCCCCCTATTTTCAGTTTCTTAAAACTAAAAATTACAGAGTACAGATGGCTTCTTTAGACAAGAACAATATTAGTTTAGACTTAGTAATAGTCTACAGGTAGAATTACAAATAGAGCTAGTTTAAAAAGCCAAAAAAGCTTCCATAATTTGATGATAAAGTTGATAGAAACAAATGATGCCTAAAATACCTAAATATTGTGGTAGTAAAACTTTACATACTGAAATATATAGACTCCTTTGTTACCTAAAATAAACATGAACAGAAACAGAAAACTAGTTCAAGAATCATTAGAAAAGGATCCACTTTGTACATTTGCATAAACGGTGCAGAATCATTAAATTTGTAGGACACACTACTAGTAGTAATTGGTATCATCCCTTATAACTACACAGATAGACATCTAAACTTTATTTTAATCAGACTTTTTTAAGGTAACAAACAGTGCTCTACTTATGTCGTGTCTTACAAAAAATAAAGGTAAGTAGTCAATACAAGAAAGAAGTAATGATGTGTTTCAAGTTCTCAACACAAATGACATCCTGGAAAACTTTTTAGAGCACAATAGTTTTGAGTTGTTAGATCATCTAAAACTATGTCTTAACTTGCCTTACCAATATATCAGACTAACCCAAAAGAGAAGAAATGAAACGCTTTACAAAAATAGAAATGTGACCTACCCCTTGCTACTTTCCCCGTAACTCTTCATTTCGGCATTTTATCCACAGTGGTTTCCTAACCACTTATTAAAAATTGAAAAGCAACAGCTATAAACTCTTAGAAACATAATAGGCAACCCATTTTTAGCAGATGTGGATTTTTTGTAATGTTTGCCTGGAGTTGCTGAACACCATCTATATCTTAAATATCCCCAGTTCTGATGGGTAGCTGCTTGTACGACACCTGTCCATTTTTGCAGTAATTGAAACCAAGGTTTTGAAGTACAACATTCATTTTTGCCGTATTGACAAGTATAGTTTTGTGAGAAAACTATTAGTAGTTGAATATCCTTCACCATCTCCACTTTTCTCATGAAACCAACCAGAAGGAGTTATCTATTAATATATAACAAGTAGATGGTCTTATAAATAACTTCAGAAAGTGAAAAATTCATATATAAAATGCCACTTCTACACACACACACACACACACACACACACACACACTTTTTAGATGAAATTTCCACCAATGCTCTTTTTGCTTATACCTAAAATCCTGCTAACATTTAAACATCAATGATATTATAGTACATATAAATACTCTAGATAGAATGAAAATAATAGACTATTGAATATTATCCTTATAGATGAGTATCATAATCCCTTAATACTGTGGAGGACATTTTAACTCTTGGTAAAAATATATTTTTTTTCTAGTGAAAATACTTTTTTTTTCATTTTGCTTTTCTTTTTTCCCTAAACAACCAAAGAAAGAGAAAAGGGAAAAACTAACCTAATAAACCCTATTGGTACTGATAACAAGGAATCATTATCTCTTCACAGAGGAGAAGATACTTAATTTACACTGTGAATTTTGTGCACTTTGTTCAATTGCTGATCAAGTGCACTAACTCCTATCCATTTACATTTCACATTAATTAAAATTTTTTATTATGTCTAACAGAAAAATGTATTTATTGATGTTAATTGTCTTTTAGATTTTACACCTCTTTTTAGCTTCCATTCCTTTAACCAAGATATTTGGCTTGAAAAACTAGATCTAGAAAGAATAGAGAACTGACATCTGAAACATGTATAGTGTTCTTAAGTCATTGTAAGAGAACTAAAATATAAGTGAATTCTCCCACCAAAGAACTCATCTGTCCCCAGGCCACTAGGAGATTGGGAGGGAGACTATCAGACCAACCTCCAACTGGCTCTGCACGTGTTTGGAAGATTACTTTTACTTTACCTTTAGTATAATCAGAACTAAAGGAATAGTTGCTCTGGATACATTAATACTGTTTTTCCCAGTTGTCGGACCTGTCGATGGTGAACAGTTCCTGAGTTGGGGGGTAAGGATTAAAGAAAGACAAGAAGACAGGATAGAAACGGGAGGACTGCCAGTTAATACTGGTCAGCCTCGAATGTACTTTATTGCTAGTCTTTATACAAATTTCAGAGACTTCTGTGATGTAAGGTTTTAAGTCCTTACTGAAATTATCAGGTTGTTATTACAATACTTTGGAACATTCAGTTCAAAACAATCCCAAGATATTCTGCTCATAACAATCCAGCCACCCAAGGCCATGTCCCAATCAAGACCCTGGTCTTATTCTGGTGGTCACATCCTGCACATTCCTCACATCTCCTTTTTGGCTCCCCACACCCAGTTTTCAAGTTTGGTGTCTTGTCCATATAAGCAAATGCAAGAGCCTAACAATGGAGCACCACGACCCTCTATCTATCAACTTATATGTGAAAATCAGAAAAGGAAATATATTGGTGGTGATTTTTTTTGTTATTTGGAAGTTTTGATCATTCTAGCAATAGCAGAAATGGCTTTGAATCACACAATCAAAATATAATGACTATATGATAAGAATTTTTGGTAAGAGTGAATTCACCTGAGTTAAACCCAAGCAGTTTTTCATAACAACTTTCATAACATCAATTTCTTTGCAATTTCACCCTGGCAAAAACCGAATACAGAAAGAACTCTCCAATAAAATGGCATGATAATACAAAAAAGGCACAATTAAATTGTTTGGTCGTACTTACCCTTCTTGGTTTCACGCTAGTTATCACTATACATTTAATATCCATTACCTATTAAGAATTGTTTCACCTTGAAATCTTTATAATTGACAGAACTGGTGATCATTCACTAGTATTTTATAGAAAAGAATCATTTCCCTTTAAAATTGTTAAGTAAAAACAAACCAAGCCCCAAGAATGCATGGCCTAAATAAGCTGAAACTAGGATAATTTTCATTTCCAACTCCTAGTGCCTGCTTCTGAATTCATGATTTCTTTATGTTCATAATAATAATTGTCCTTAATTACATTTTGAAGTCAGTTATTGAAAATGGTGTTAGAATCACATACTCACAGTCTGTGACCTTCAGAGTCCGCTTGACCTCTCCACTTCCTGATCCACCGCAGCCATCTTCATCATCACAATCTCCACTGACTTGTTCCATCATGCCTCCACCACTGCCCAGCGGAAGAATCTCCCATCTGTCAGGTTTTGGTGACCTACCCTGCAACAACTAAATGTGGATACCAAAAAGTCTTTCTTAATACAAGTTCAAAACTTCTAAGAACTCTATTCAGTAACTGATGTAGAAATTATAAGTATTCTATTAGGGTGATCCACTATTTTGGTGTAGACACCCTACCAAAGGAAGTCTTCAAGAAAAATAGAAACAATTGAAATTAAAATAATAAATAACAGGCAACATCTTCCATTCATAAAGAGCTACGGTCTGTGTATTTGCTCTGTGATAATGTCTTCAATAATGCTTTGGGAAGCAAATATAATCAGGCATTTTTGCTTATAGGTAGTGATGAAAAATCCTTCATTTCTGAACAAGTTATGTTTGAGTATATAGTAATAGTATATCAAGCTCTAATATAACACAACTGCCTTTTTACTATATTGTGCTGTCTTGTAAACCAACTGTTTTGTAAATTTCTCACAAAAGAAAGTATCACTCTTCCATAAAGAATTTTGTCAAAAGAATTATTTTAAGTAAGTCCAAAATTGATTTAAAATTATTTAACATGTATTCAAAAATTTATTTGAAAGCTTTATGTAACTTTGTCAGATCAAATACCCGGTTCAAGGCATAGGGCACAGAACTGATTCCTGGGACCAAAGATGTAGGTACTATCCAATGTTTCAGTTTCAACTCATTTAAGAAATTTGAGCAACTTCTTGGTTCTGGATTTTTATTTATTTCATTTGCTTTTATGAGCAATAGATGGAATATCTATTTCTCCCTCTAACAAAAGAATGTTAGAAATAAGTTCAAATAATATTTGAAATGTCTGAACTTTTCAAAAAAGTGATGTTATGAATAGGATATTTCATTTAAAGCTAAGATGGAATAAAATTGTCCAATGCATATTATTTACACCTCTAAAGCAGTTTTGGAGTATACATGATTAAGGAAGAGCACTAGTGAGTAGTGTATATTAATAATAAACTGCTACTTAATGGGCATTTAAATACTCGTGATTTATAATAGATTTAGGGTTGTTACTTCTGTGACTTTCCAAATAATAGTATCAATTAGCAGACAATAATTAAGCATACAACCCAAGGACAACATTTCATACTGTAGAACATGGAACAAAATAGCCTCAGTATATCAATAACTGGACTTTGAAATTAATAAACTTTTAAAATAAAAAAACAATTGTTTTAATTCTAAAATATGATAGTTCTTTAAAATATCTATTTCCCTAGCCAAGAATAAAAATGCTAAAAAAAAACCCTTGACAATAATTTTTTAATTACTTGTGTTTATCAATATTTCACATAAACTATGTTAGTAGGTGTTACATTAAAAAGGTTTCTTTCAAGGTCAAGTGAATTTAGTAAATGATATGTTAAATAAAGCTTCTATACAATGTTTAATACGTTAATGTGCTTGCTACTTCCTGGAAAGTGGAGGAACATAGCAATAGGGAAACAGATATGTAATGAACCATGTGAAAATTCAAATCTGAGAGAAAGAATAAATGGTATCATTTTATATCATGTATGATTTGTTATTGTGAAATATACCATTTATCATTTATTTAGAATAATCATAAAAGGCTTGGACTCTAACATCCAATATGCTTAGAAATAAATCCTAGTCTGATATATATTAACTGTACGTCATGGTGGTATTGAGTAAGTTACTGAATAACTCAATTTCCTCATATCTGTAAAAGAACAAATGGATTTTTGCAAATGTAACTAATGTCGTTAACCAGTTGATATGAGGTTTATAAAAAAGAAGGCTATCTGGGTGGAACTAATCACATCAATTCCTTAAAAAGCAGAAAGTTTTCTCTGGTTATAACTAGAAGTCAGAGACATTGGAATTATTAGGGAGGTGAGTGAGATACAGGGATCTCCATTCTGGTCTTAAAGGTGTAAGCTTGGATGATGTGAATGGCCTATCAAATGCCCTGCTTCAAGGACCTGGACTACTAGCGGCCACTAGGATCTGAGAGTGATCAGAACTAAGACTAGGACTGATATCTGAAGTCCTACAACTGAGTCCTTTCGATAACCTAGATGAACCTGGAAGCCAATTCTTCCCTAGAATCACATCAAGCCAAATGTGAATGTCACCTTGAATCAACCTTGTGAGTCCCTGAGTAGTAGGCCCAGACTTCTGATCTGTGTTATTGTAAGCTAATAAGTGGATGCTGCCTTGAGCTGCTAAAGTGTGATAATGTGTTCAAGAGAAAACTGATAGCCTCTTTATCCTCTGACTGAGCAACACCTACTTCTTGGAAACTTTCTTTGATATCTTCTGTCTCTATAGCATATTCCTTAGAAATAGAGGTCAAAATTTCCATAAAATATCACCTTACTGGAAAGATGGTACTCTTGGAATTGAGCTATCAGATTTTACCATTTCGTCAGTTTTCAGTTTTCTCTGCTTCTTTATAATACCTCTCCCCATTTTCTAAGTCTCTGAGCAAGAGACATAATTTCTGTTTCCTGTGATCTACTGATCCAAATATACCCAGGGCTTCACATGATCTGTAATTCCAGGTCTTTAATCCATCCTTCTCTGTCTGACAGGATCAATATCTTCCTCTGCTCTCCATGGAAATTCTACCTTATACTTTTTCTTTCCTCACCGCTTAATGATAAGAAATCTACAAATGTCCATGTTCATAACTGTAATAAAGCCTAATTTGTGAAAATTACAATCAATTTCTCATTAAGAAAAGCAATGTTAGATCAGCACACAAATTCTTTCTTCTTTTGGACTTAACTATTTTGGTTTCTTCTTAGCTTGCTCATCTTTCTCCTTCTCACCCTCCAAATAAACATAAATATTTGAATTAATAGTGTACATCCTCTGCTCTTTTCAGTCTCTTCCTGGGAATTCATCCAAATGGATTGTACTCTCACTTGTATACAAAAGACACTCAAATCTCCATCTATAACCTTTGTACTATTTGTCATACTATTTAATTCATCTCTAAGCAGTGACTAGATGGGAAGATGAACTCTACTACTTTCTATCTTCAAATAGAGTTATTAATCTCCATATTCATTACATTACAACTGACCTCCCAGCTCTGTCACTGCAGGGTTCACCAGTCTCTCCTACCCACTTACATCATATTATTTCCCCAATGTTATTAGAATCAGCACTCTCAACTTGTCATTTTTCAGCCTTAGTGCTCTTTGTGACTCTTTGTTATAAAAAGCCACCAGTTCCCAACATGTGTTTAGAGAAGAAATATCAATCTAAATAAATGGGGCACAAAAAGAGTGGTAAAATATTTGAGAAATACATAATATGGCCCCTTTTTAATTATCTTGGATTAAAGGCTCATGAAAAATGTTAAAGGAAGCAATCTTGTCCAATTGAGATTCCAAATTTACATAAACAAATATCCTCTCTCTCCTTACTTAGTAACCATGAATACTTTCGGAAATGAGACCTACAGAAAAGTTCAAATTTAGCCTGGCAGTCAAGTTTCCATAAAACACATACACATACACATTTAAATTATGTCTAAGCACAACTCTCAGCATCTGCACTCTACCATAGAGCAGTCAGTCTGTTCTCACAGAAATGATGTGTCTATAGTTTTTCTGATGTTTGTTTTAGATTTTCCTCACAGTGGTTTCCTCCCATATACTATGCATTGTTTTCCTCTTCTTTAACTTACCATATTATATCCCATTTTCAGCCTCAAACTCAAAATCTCTTTTTCTGTCCTGTCTGCATTTCTAAGTTCTTTTAAGTGCTATACTATTCACTAGCACTTAATCAATTTTCTTCAACATGTCACATTTTTCTGATGAAAGTTAAAGAATAGACCAGGGTTTAATATGCTTTTTCTCAACCTCCATAGTGACTAGAGTGTTACAGGTGCCAAATATGTATATATTATTTATATATTTAAAATTTGGAAACAATAAGCTTACTTTGTGAAAATTCCACTCTTCAAAGCCCTCTACATACAATCTAGTAAAATGTTTTCACTTTTAATGAAGTCATTAGAGTCCATAATGTTCTAGAATAACTTTGGGATTATATTTACTATGATTGATTCAATTACTCATTCAATTATATTAATTGAGTGTACACTATGTAACACATATTTTGAAGAGTAAACAGCCACATTAAAAGACAAGATATACTCTGTTTTTTATTGAGAGATTTTTGCTATAGGGTGTATGACCTTGCCAGAGAGACAGATAAAGACAGAGAGACAGAAAGTGAGAATCACCCCCCAAGGGGGATGGTCATGCCACTGTCCCTTCTCCATTCTCCTCTCAGGATTTTAGGCATGCATTCACATGCACCCAGTGTGAATTACAAGCCGCAGGGTCTGGGACTCAAACCCCAGTCAGCCAGGTGGGAGTCCAGCATCTTAACCACTATTCCACCTTGTGGCCATGACAGTCTGTTTTTAAATAGTGTGTTATTTTTATTTTCTTTCAAAGATGGTTTTCATGAATATGCAACAATTTAAAATGATGAAAAGAAATACTCTGAAAATCAGAAAAAAAGGGAAAATATCTAAACATTTAATTTTGTGACCTTGCTAAATTATTTTTTAGAATTTAATAATAAATACTTTTAAATAACCTTATTTTTTAGCACCTGGAGATTTCTAAGGAGTTGTTTGAACAAGAATTTGACATTAAAGAATGCTGCCAAGAAATACTTCCCATATCCTTCACAAATACATTTGTGTTTGTCATCCTAGTTACTATAACTAGAAAAAAAGATATTCAAATGATTTGTTTTAGTGAATATGTACAAACATTCTCCTTTATAAATATGGAATACAGGAATACTTTCAAAATATTGATTTGTGCAAAAAGTCTGTTATATTCTAGAGCAGAGAGGGAATTTAGCTTCATGATTTTAGCCACCAGGTAATGTTCTCCTCCTTTTTTCATTCACAGGAGGTCAGTTTTCTTTTTAAAGTTTATTTTTATAATGGCCTGAGGACTGGTGAAAGACAGAGAGAGAAAGGAAGGAAGGAGCCTCACAGAGACCATAGTCAAGCT